TCGATCAGCAGGTTGATCAGCAGGTCGATCAGCAGGTCGATCAGCAGGACGACCAGCAGGTCGACCAGCGGGTCGATCAGCAGTCCGACCGCCGGGATGACCGGCAGCTTGAGTCAAGAGAATAAGGAGTGCAGCTGCGAGGGAGAGCAGGGAGGGACTACCACCTCTCTCTCCCCCAACCCTAAACCAACCCTACCTAACAAATCCTTACTTTTACTTCAGCTGGTGAAAACTACTACATTGTGGACTATGATCTGATCCGACAGCGAGCCAGACTTTTGCAGAAATACCTGCAGGATGAGGAGAAGCAGCTGCAGGCTCTCTCCGCCCTGCAGGCCCTGATGCTGCAGTTGGATCCCCCTAGACGTGAGTCTCATTACTTATATTTATACTTCACCTTCAGACTCCCTGAATCTGTTTCTGTGCACAATGTCTGTATTCAATAACTCTTAGTGTGTGCGACACCACTGTGCCGAGAACTCTTCACCCGTGTGCATATTCCGGTAAGAGAATAAGAGGACACCGTTGACGTTTCACTTCCTTTATATAAACTTTTTCAACAGCCAGGTAAGTACACACATTACAGGCTCAAAGCTACGCTCGCTGCGTAAGGACCCCAAAACGTAAACATAACTGTCCCCTAAACAGCCTGACCCAAAATAACGGGCTAACTAAATGATGCCTGATCAAAATAGTCAATACTGAAATTAAATTATATTTGACAAATTAACATATTATTAACCTACATTTGCAGATTCTTAAGGGAATTTATAGCAGTCCGTGTTTTAGTTTACTGCTGATGATGATACCAAAGCAGTTCAGATGTCTCTTCTCGTTCAGCTCTTAGGTCTGAGTTTTAAATTATTATAATTGTTGGAAATATCTTGTCTCCCTCCCTCCATCAGAGCTGCTGCGGACGTTCTTTGACTCTCTTTACGAGTTGGACGTGATCACAGTCAGGACGTACTCCAAGTGGGAGTTAAACGATGAGTAAACGATGAGCAGCAGGGCAAAGACATGGCCCTCCAGTATGTCACTGGCTTCTTCGCATGGCTCCATGAGATGAACTAAGGCTGCCAACCACTGAAACTGACATCAGATTCTCCTTTCCATCCCTTTTCTTTTCTTTGAACTGACAGACAGAGTAGGTTTACTATCCCTGTGTTGTGAGATTTGTTTTCATGATGGATTGGATATAAGAATAAAAGCTGATGAACAAATGCAGCAGGGCCTGATGTTTGCTTCTGATCCACAGTTTCCTTTATCAGTCTGAAAAGCTGAAACACAATGTTTGCATTTGGCTTTAGTTAAAAAAATAATCTGATAAATTCACACATATACAGTTGAGTTGAGCTGATAATGCATTGATATTAATAATCTGATGTCATGGAGACATCAAACACTGGAGACATTTTACAACATAATGTCTACCTGCTACAGTAAAGTCAGATTTAATTGAATTACAATTTGAATGCAGGACTTTTACATGTGATGGGCTACTTTTATACAGATTTATTGGTGTGCACTTTTTTTCTCTGCACACCTTA